TCTAGCCGCATTGCACCATACTAGTACACGGTCCTCTGCAACCCCTACACCACGCCCACGATCATGGGGGCAGTAACCCACGCCAACTGCTATGATCTAAAACTATCATACTTGAGAACCATGAGCCACGCTATTCTCACTCTCTCCTCTCAGATGGTGCCCAGTATAGAAGGGTAGATAAATGGTTTTTAAGGGTTTGTTGGCCCTACTCTAACCACCTGCTCGAATTAAACAATCCTCATTCGTTACCAATTAGAATAAGAGGGTCGAGAATCCCGGGGTTGAGATAAGAAAAAAGTGGTCATGACGAAACCCACATCCCAAAAAAGTAGAAAAATGCTCAAAATCGGCACTATAACTAGTGTTCAAGCAACACTGGAAAGAGGTGTCTGGGACTGTAAGCTTTTGTTGCGCAGGCAATGCCATCTCTTGTTAAGGTACTCGTACCGCAAAAAAAAAAAAGTACTGATTAATTAAGCTCCCTAACAGAAATCCCATTCAGGCTAGCCAACTTTCAGAAACAGGGGGATTACCAGACAAAGGGTTTGAAGATGAGGCTTTGGTAGTATATGAGTACCATGTGTAGGAGGATACTACAGAGGAAGAGCCAAGTTTGGCCCAAGTTACACTCACCTGCAACATTGGGGTCCGTTGGGCATTTAAAAACCCAGCCCGGCCTTCTTGCCCTCGTTTGTACGCCATGTGGAAGCCCTCCCCCTCCCCCACACCTCTCGATTGAGGTCTAAAATATTCCCCCCTACCGTTCCGAGTATGATAACGGCGTCGGGTGAGCCTGCTGCAAGTTGTCCCACTAGATTTTCTTGCGCGGTATCACACTCTAAGAGATTACCCTATAGGGAATTAAAGAGGTGCTCCCCCTCGGTGACCGCTGAGGTGCAGAGGTCTAGGAACCCATCGGCCGGGTCACAAAGCTTTCAATATCATTAAATTTTGTTGTAATGTACCCGTAGACAATCTACGTGTCTCATGGCACACAATGAAGACCCATATTTTTTCTAGCCCCAACAGGATGCGAGTGATTACACATGACAACCGGGCGGCTTGGGACAAAGAAACATGACTTGTGCACTTTTGAATCATCAACTATGATAGCATCAATATGTATGATACACAGGGCTACAGAGTTATTACCCATTAAATTCTAGAATCCCCAGCATACCGGTATAATATATTCAATGACAATATATATACCAAACCGTTACCCCAAAGGGTATATTTTCCGGGGAAATATTGACTAAAACTACGATGACTAATTTAAGATTCATGCCATCGTTCAAGCTTCTCAGGCAGATCCCCCTGATATAGGTTCCTGGTCGTTTGAGGAGAGATCTATTAGTCTATAGGCAGCCTCTACCTCTTGGCAATGCCTCACTTCAGGTAGCGGTATCTGCAGAAAAAAAGATGAAAAAAAAACTGTGTGGAATCTTGCTTAGGCATTAGATGAAAGATGAGTAGACTAGAGAATTGACTCCAATTGCCCAGAATCGTATGATGCCAGGACAAACACCCGTTCCTTTAAATTTACTCACCATGCTCCGCACCCCCCCCAACCCCGCCCCACCGACCACCGCCCCGCAGTTCCGCCGAGAGAGTATGCCCGCCATCCATACAGGCACGCTGCTCTACGACTACCATAACACCTTACGTGCTATCAGGACACCATAACCGCCCCTCCAATTTGTACAGTACAATAATCAAGTTCATTTTCCCAGTTTTCTGACACCCCATCCGTCACGCTATAACACAATTTTAAAGAAAAAATAGGTGAACCATACCTACACAGCAGCTGCCTTAACGGTACCCGTGATGAAAACAAAAAACCCGCCCCACACACAAGGCCCACAAGTCAAGCCATCCATCCTTCCGTCCGAGACTGCCAAATCCATCAACAGGCACTCGAAGTCTAGATTTTGCCGAACCCTTCAGCAGCTAACCTACGCGAAACGACTCAGAGCTCTCGGTGAGTTTTCAAAACATTCCCCGCGAGTTATTATACAGATTACCCGAGTAACTTAGAGCTCAAATGGGCGGACAGCGCAGGGCGTAGCTTAGGGGCTGTTTGGCAACACGGAAAAACATGGTTTTGAAACCACGGTTAGCAAACTGGCGAATAGGAGGCCCTAAAACCAGTATACCCAGGCCTTATCATTGGTCAGTTTCAAAACCATGGTTTGCCGTGTTGCCAAACAGCCCCTTATAGCCAACCACGGCAGGCAACGAATTCGGCCACCCCAGGCCAGCCGAGCTTGGCGGGGATGAGAGAAGAGAGAATCACGAACCCCCACCGTGTTTTTCCCGTATGATATTATTTGCCGTATTCCGGACATGCGTCCACCTGTGTGTCTACTCTGTCACCACCGCAACCTCGGAAAACCCTATGATGGTTATTCTTTAAGGTACGTCTAGTCCATCATTGGTTCCTCAAACACTTGGACAACAGGAGCCCCCAAAGCCGGGACGAGGTCTGGATGGGTTCAGGGTGGTATTACGAGTATATTTTGTGAGTAAAGCTGATTGGCGCAAATCCGATCCACGGCTCAGCTGAACTCAACCAAACTCATCCGCCCGTGCCAGAAAAGGCAGTAGACGAGCCCAGAAGATAGACTAAGCATTACCAACTCTAGTTAGGCCGGTGAAGGCTGACATCGATCCTCTGACCCGTTATGGCTTCTGAGACTGCCTGGCGTTGTCCATCCCTTTCTGAGGTTCATCAAACCTATTGTGAAATTTGCGAATCACACCGGGCGTTTTGCCAGTGGCTGACCATCATTTTCTGAACACATTCTGAACCCAGGCCAAGGTTTGAGGAATCCTAATTACGGCAAGTTCAGGTTGACATTTTGCGGCCTAAAATACGGTCACAATAAAATTCCAAAGATTGAGGTTTCAATGTTAGAATACCGAATGATACAGTATATCGTGTTCGCCGGAAGTGGCTACCCCTTCCCCCGCATGCCCAGTTAATGGACTTGGCGCACCCCGAGACTGCCGCTAGCCCCCACAATAAGTCCAAGCTGACTCTTACAGTTGATTTCTCGGAGTAATTGTGGGTGCTTGAGCTACTACAGAGCTTATTTCCGCCACTTAACATGATGAGTAATCTCGGCTAGGCTTTTGGGAGTTAAGTTACCTAGTTAGGAAATGTCAGTCAGTCCGATAATTATTCCGGAAACCTTCTTTCTGAGCCCACTACCGGTACAGTACAAGTACAGTACCGCAACTCGACCAACCTACCACGACCTCAACCAAACGTGCCACTCAAATGCAAAGGACCCCCACTAACGCTCGTATATGAACCCCTAGAACAGGGGTCAAAATGAAAGGATTGACCTGGCATCAAGACGCCCCCTTGAATACCTTGACACAATCCGCCATGGAGGTCCACAAAACCGAAAGGCAGGAGATCATACAGAAAACCACTCCAAAAAATTCCGAGAACCAGCTTCCGTAAGGTTCAACCCGGAGAGCTACTGCTACCGGCGCGAGTAGGGCCAATTTGTAGGTACTGGTACAGAGCCAGTATGCTCTTCTCGCCACCTCCTTAACGTGCCCCAGTCCTATCACGTCCCACCTACCAGATAGCGGAGGTATGGTCTAAACTCTTCCCAGTTTGGTGATTTCAGACATACACTAGATCTTTGACCACCTCACAACTCTCTTCACAGACATCATCCATCGTTGCACTAAGTGGTTGGGTCTCCTCTGGTTGTCCTAAAGGGCCCTTCTGCTAGTTGTTCAGCGTCCACGATGGGTATGTCAATATCCCAAACCCAGTGTACTATCCAGTATTATACGGTACATCACAGTACAGTACGGCCCCTACGAGCAGCCACGAAAGAAGAGGAAGAAAACCCCTGCTCGGAGTCGATCTCGAACAGGGCAGTCACCACATCTCACTCGAATACCATTATACCAATATATGGACCCCCTCTCACCCCTCTAGCTTCAGCTGTGCACAGACCCCCACGAGCACGTCATTAGAAGCCGTTCGAGATTCCCAGGTTAAAGAGGGCGTGTAATGCCGTCCTTGTGGGAATCAAACCATCATGTTATGCGGGTCCGCGGGCGCTCCCCGCCGGCTGAACTCAACTTACGTGTATCCCCCTCTTTCCTATCATACCGGTTATTGTTCGTGGCGATGGCTGTGTAGTCTCCCCTCTAGTGTTATACCAAACATCTAAAAAGGGAGTGGGAGGATGAAGGAAGGAAGGAAGGAAAGGAGGAAGATACAGCCCCACAAATTTTAAAAAGCCATGCGACGGCCAACCGGTACCCTACCGTAGCATCCATGGAGGGAGTGTCTACAAGTAATCTCCCCTTCGATTTTTATTTTCTTTTTAAATCTTCAGAGGGAAGTCAAGTACTAGTAAAGTTACCGCACGATCTCAAAAGTTAAAGGCATACGAGTGCCACAGTTCTACTCACCTTGAACCATACGGTATATATGCCTATGATGCGCCATGGAGACCCGGAAAAAAAGCACGCTTGACGCCCACACAGGAGGACCCGCAGAGAAGTTACGAGTACTCGAATGGGTGACGCTGCCATATTCCCAATCTACCATGTGAAGGTCGAAGACCGTCTTGACCGTTGCTTCCGCTAATCGAATAGGGAGGGATTGGTACGGTACCCGTACGGTGTGGGACGTGGTGTGACGTGATCGATAGTCTACTGATATACGGGTACTCGAGTACTCGTATTGAGTGAATGGATGGGGCGCGGATGGGGGGAGGAGGTGCTGCGGGCAAGTGAGGAAGAGTTGAGAGGAAAAGGAACGTGTTGTGAGGTGCGTACTGTATCTATGGTGGCCGTTTATGGGTTAGCCTGGTGGTGTGGTTGCGTGCTGTGGTTGGTCACTGGCGGTGGGGTCAAGTAACCCATGTTACTGCTATAAGGCTGATATCTACAATGAGATAGGTACTACTGTACAAACTCGGACTGACTTTATAGCTATTTTTTGTTTTCTCTTGTCTTTTTCATTAAATTTTCATTAAATTCCCCTCACCCGCCTGCCATTTATACCATTACCAATCTAGATATGACGCCGCCTACCCCAATCAGCCCCCTCCCAAGAAAGAGAGAAAGAGAGAAATGAAAGAAAGGACACACCTTTAAATCATCTGCATTCAACAAATCCACCCCCTCCTGCACAAGCACACCCCAAACCGCATTCCGAACGCTAATTGGCCAGCCAGGAGTATCCCAATAGCGCACCATGATGCCCCTCCTATGCGCCTCTTCAATATGCCCGCGCACAATACGCTTCTGCTCCTTCGTCATTCCCCGTCCCCATATGACGCTACCAACGTCCCGCCCAAACTGTCCGGATGCGATGATTGTCTTGTCGGGGGTGTAGCGGCCAGAGGACAGGTCGCGCAGCGGGGCGTCGTAAAAGTAGTCGCGGTAGGAGGAGTTAGCGACAATGGAGTCGAAGGGCGCGTCACCGGTGAGATGCACAGTGACCTGTCCTTGCACCACGTGCGTACCGTTAAAGTGCGTGAGGTAGTTGACCGGGGTTCGCAGCGCCTCCAGGTGCGCAATAACGACGGGCAGGGTATTATGCCCGGGGGTCTTGAAGTCGACAAACAGGTGTGTCGTCTGACCGGGGTCGACGTCCCAGATGCCGTTTCTTCCACCCACCGGTTCGTCCGGCCCCTCGCCATGGCCCTTTCGGGGGCGGGTGAACTCCGTGTCCGGGTTTTGCGAATCCAGCATTTCCCGTAGCGGATTCACGTAGAGGCTTTTGAAGGTCCGGTTCCTCGTCAGGCTTGCAATGTCATGGCCTATGAAGAGCTCGCCCCCGTACTCCCATACATCCGCTTCTATCGAAATGCACCCATAACCGATCGCGGTGTAGACGGGAACGCGGCGCCAGTAGTCGTTGTGGCTGTGGATCGGCTTGGGCAGGATGTCCCGCGTCAGGCTTGTCGGGTAGGCGGATCTCGAGAGCGGGAAGTTGAGGAGGAGGGTATGCAGGTCGGTGGTGTAGATCGCTCTCACGATGGTCGTGGCGATTGAGAAGAGTTGGGTCGCGCAGCTGTTATGCACCTCTTTGTCTTTAGCCAGTGCACGGGAAAAGAGGAGGAGATGGGACGCACAGCACGAATAATACAAAGAATGAGAAACTTCCGACCAGCTTTCCCAGTCGATTATACCGGCCTACCGCCCCTTCCATTCGGGGAACGGTTGCGGCCGCCAGCATCTCTGCTTTCTCTCGTACCCTCACGATAGAGGGATAATAGATGAGGAGGGAGGGGAGAGAACGGGAGGGGAAACGCAAGGAAAAGAAGAAGAAGAAGGGGAAGAAGCGGAGGATGAGGAAGAGGAATAAGAAAAATGCACGTGGGGGGCGTTGGAGCAATAGTGGGGGGAACACCCAGTAAAAGAGGGATCATAAGCACGAAGTGGGTGAGAAAAGTCCGTAAAGTACTCCTCCACCCTCCCCCCCCTTCCTCCTTCCCCATTCCTACCTAGCTCAAGGTGCCACAGAAGCCCGTTGTAGCCAAAGCAGTTGTTATCTCAGAACAGTGACCGTGACCACCCACGGCAACCACCACCACCACACCAGTGACACCACAACCCTCCACCACCAACAGCGCGACGAATGATGCGCCCACGTGCGATTGACCCGGCTCCCTTTCTGCGCGGAATGCTTGTTGTGTCAAAGACCGAGGAAAGAAGGCACAACCCGCTCGCAATCCCGCTGGAGTAGTAACACCATATTATCACGTACAGTACTCGTACGTGTACAGTACTGTACGAGTACAATCCAGCCGTGTCTGAAAAGTCTTGGTACGGTCTATGGTAGTCGCAAGTCAGAATTCAATTTTGAGTTTCCCATTACATAAATTTGTAAACACCAACAATAATTATAATATTCAAATGGTAAGAAAACCTACATCTTTTGGGGAAAGTGAATATGGAATTTTTTTTTTTTGTCCTCAGGATAGGTTGATTGAGTGCATACTTGGAAGTAGGGGGGTCTGAGTGGGTTTTCAAGTTCATTTAAGGATAAAAATATTGACTACTCCTCTGATTCTAACAATATTAGATTTAATTACTAGGACTTATACAGTCCATATGTTATGATTGAGAAATAAGAGTATCTATATGATAAGATGGTAAGTCTAATGCATATCAAACTTCAGAGTAAAAAGTAATATTACTATATCATACTACTTGGATACAGATTTTAGGAAAACAAGGAAAATTAGACATGATATGATTTCTCTTGTTTTCTAAAAACTGTATCCATATTCAGATCCTAATAATATCCACTCATAACTACAATTTACTTTACAAAAGTACAGAAATTTGCAGTAATACATTTAATAGTCTTCAATCAATATAATATTATTTAAATAAATAAAAATAGATAATAGTATATACCCCTTTAGAATCACTATAGTTTAACAAGTATTGCTTTTGATACAATAGTCGTTTAATGAATCAAGAAGTACTACAATGTTTGTTTTAGCCTTAAACTTATGTTTGTAGAGCACTTATAGTCTAAGCATAATGGTAATAGTTTTTTGAGACTAAAAACATCTAAGTATTGCTAGAATTAATAAAATTATATCAACTATGAAATAATATTATTATATCACTCTGTAAAAATTTTAATAATATTATGAAAAATTGAAAAAGAATATACTAGGACAGTCCTCATTATTTTCCTAAAAGTGTACTCATATCTTTAACCATGTTGAACTAGACTATACATATTGGAAAACATTCAGGTAGACTAGACAATGAGAGGTTTTCTAAATTACCCATCACCTATCTTATAATAAACCAATCTGTATTTCCAACTGCCCTGAATTATGATGTGGTATCATACATACTCTTGCCGAACCCGATATGAGGACTTCTCAGACACAGCTGTACTAGAACTGTACAGTTCAGCACTGAATTCATGCCAGCAAACTTGCAGGCAGGATTCATTTCCTTCCTTCCCTATCCACCGTGCGCCCCTTTCCTTCCCTTCCCTTCCCTTCCCACGGCCGGAGGGGTATCATCGGGTCGTACGGATCGGCAACATATCTGATCCCGCATCTCAGACCAATAACGAGCCTTTCCGCGGGGTCTACAAGACAAAGGGAAAAAGCTGTTTAATTGCACCTATTTATTTATTTTTTTCCCCCTCAACAAAACATTCAGCTACCGTATTGTAACACGCGTGTCGGGATTTGAGAAGAGGAAAAGAAAAAAAAAAGTCGCAGTTTTTTAAGACCGCATAGGATAAAATTCCAAATCCTCGAAATGGATACCACGAGTACACCTTTTTTTTACGCGGGCCGCCATGTACAGTACCGGTACAAGTAGACTGAATTCCAGGCGGGAGAAACTGGATTTTCCAAGCTCAGTTAGGGGGGATTCCCGGGTCCCATCAACGGTGTGAGCAGCAAAAAATATTGATCCTCGGTTTCTTGGGGGGTTGCGCTCAGAGGGCTCAAATTGCTCATGGTCGGTTTTTCATCATCACCATTCTGGTGCGGTTTTGGAATGTTGCGACCAGGTATCATGTCGGGCCGCACCGTGCGTACTAGTGTACTAGCAAGAGCCTAATGGCGGCCGAGAACCGCTCAAGTACGAGTGCGGCCGATAGATATATTCGTCACGTGAGTCTGATAAGAAAATTTTGGTGCACCTTTTGGCTGCGATGTGTCCTTAGATAAGGCACGTGACGAATATATTTATCGGCCGCACTCGTACGCACTACGGCATTTGGCGGGAACCAATAAATGCTTCTCCTGCACCGGGGGTTGTGGGTAAGTCTGGCGAACTTACGCCCTTTGTGCTCAATTTCAGCAAATCAACGAGCAGAAAAATGCTGCCTGGGAGTCTGCACTCTTGGCCTCCCTGGCCCGTGAGTGCTCTGGACTGGGCTGTCCTTTTACCTCGTTAGGCTCACGGACTCAAAAGCCCATCATAATATTCGCAATCCCCCTCGATCACCATGAAGCTCAGAGGCTCCCACAGACTATGTGCCCCCCCGGAGGAAATACAAGCCAGTTCTTAGCGCCAAGTAACCTTGGCCCAATTTCCCCATTCCCGGATACTTCTGCAACGCCCAAGTGCCGTACCGTCATTACAATTCACTGCCCCCGCCTTGCGCGGGCGAACGGGTAAAGACGACAGATTCACCAGATATCCGGCCTGGTGGATAAAGCTCGCACCTCCGCCCGGATTTTCAGTTTATGATCTGAGGGCCCTGGTCATTTTGAATGAATCGCCGAAAGCATTGGCCGCTTTTACCAAACCGCCTGTACTCGAGTATACCGGCAGTATGATAAAGGATAAGTTATAAAACTTAAAACACATCATGCTGGTTCCATGCGTCCACTTTGGTTCATCTAGCAAAGCAATAAACCACCACTACTGTACAGTACACGCCAGATACCCCAAGGCGATGGTGACATTCACCCGAGGTTCTCGAGAAAGAAAAATGCACAACTCCACCCAATGAAATCAGAAAAAAAGAGAGAAGAGAAATGAGAAAAAAAGAGAAAAAAAGTTCCACACCAATCATCCCTAGAATTGATAAAATAAGAAAAATAAGAGGATATCATTTTCGCGTGCCACTAGAAAGCTTTTGTTTACAAGAGGCGACAACAGCAACAGGGTGAAAAAAGCCAAGGCAAGGGAGACTGTTTCAAATAAATTGCAGCAAGTCTGCCGGGGCTAGACTTCTCGCTAGCATCCTCGCAGGATTATCGCTAGTGCCATCACTCGTGGTGGTGGTGTTTTTCATGGTCAATGCACCCATCTCGCACCAGTCGAGTACGGGCAGACAGCTAAGGTATTTGCACCATCCGCAGGTCTTCTCGAACTTGTAAAAATTGTTGATGAGGACAACCATAACGATTAGTGCTGTTGCAAGGGTAGCTGCTCGAACAAGCCACCACGCCCACCAAAGTGGCTTGCGTCCCTTGAAGAATCCCGCTGGGTTCCTGAAAAACCCGATAAAGCCACCGGGGAGCGCGGAATGGGGGCTTGCAGCGTACGGTGAACTGTTGACTGCCATCGGGGTGTAAGGCGGCGCACCAGCACCGATCTTTTGTCGGATCGATGGTGGAGAATGCAAGACGGTAAGACCAAGAAAAAGCCCCATCAGGAATCCTCCAATGTGGGAAAAGTTGTCCAAGCCCGGAAGCAATCCAATGACAAAACAGATGATGATTTGAAACAAAAGAAATCCAAGGTCCTTCTTTGGCGACTTGCGTAACCGCCAAGTCCATATCAGGTCCAGAAGAATCAATGAGAAAATTCCAAACAAAGATCCGGAACAGCCCCTGCGGTGCGTCAGTGCATAATCTTTCCCAAGAATGTTCGCAGAAGCATACGTGCTAGGTTGTCCGTTGGGAGCATAGTTGCCGCCGAACACGAAACCGAAAATCCCCGAAGCGAAATATACTATCGCAAACCTTAAATGCCCAATCTCCCTTTCCATATCCGTACCAATTTTGAGCTGCACCAGCATATTAAACGCGATATGAATCAACCCGGCATGTAAAAATATTGGCGTGATGAATCGATACCATTGATTTGGCTCGCCGCCCTTTGGCGCAGTTCCCCCAAGGTCGCTAGGGATGTTGGCCCCACCGAAACCGCACCACTTTGCAAGAGTGCACCCTTCCCGTGACGTATCCTCAACAGTAGTGTCGGGGCAGGGATATGTACTGATGGGATTGTCTGTGATGCCCTCGATTGTCTTCATGCAAGGCACAAACCTTGCGCCCATGTTAATGAGAACGTGAACCGAGGGGCCGATCATAGGATTGAACTGCGGTTTGATTGCAATGGGCGTCTTTGTAAGTACCGCATTGCGTGCCAACTCTGCGATAAACACCGAGATCTGGATTACAGCCATGAGGTAGCAAAACCACGGCCTTGGTCCCTTGCTCGATTTCAGGAGAGAGAAATTTCCCTTCTTCCCCTTTGAACCGGCGTGCCCGCCACCCTCAACGGCCGCCAGGTCGTGCGATGGCTTCCGACCTGGACGGGTATCATTGAGAGGGATATCATCGCTATAAGGTCCGGTTGGTTTCCCATAAGAGTCGTGGGAGTTGTAGGAACTCGAATGTAATGGGCCCGCTGGCCGTTCGGATTCGTGCGGGTGATAGGCTGTATCTATTGACTGGGTTGAATGGGGACGGCCAAAGAAGTCGTCGCTGTAACCGGTGGCGGTGTGTGTCGGAGGAAACGGGGGATGGGAGGGCAAAGGCTTGTGAGTTAGCGAGGCGCTATTGGAAATGGAAGAGATGGGCGAGTGTGTATCCTGTCTATCGTAACCATCATCGTCATTGGAGCCATAGCTCCCACCAGGATGGGGGCCAGTATTGTAGAACTCGGCAGCCGCCATGACAGGCTGGGATGGAAAGGGGGATTGGACGGGTGAGGGACAGTAGCGGTATCGACTATGGATACTGTAGTGGAGTTAAGGATGAGAGAGAGCGAAGGAAGGTAGGGAGCGTGGTGGTGAGGGGACGACGGTCGACGAACTGCCAGGCACTGATTACTGTGGACTAGCGAAGGTTGTCTGAGGGTTTCCAAATGGGGTCAGCGGATGTCAGACAAATTGTGTCTGGCGTCAAACACGGTGGGGGGGAAAGGAGAAGGGTTTTTGAAATGTAATCACAATACGAGTACCGGTATCGGTACGGTACTCTTGATCAGGGAACTGGAAAGGGGGGGGGGGGGGTAGTACAAGTGTGATAGAACTCACAAATAGTATTTCACAAGACCTTTAGGAATATCTATTCAAGCTTTCTCAGGTCGATGATACAAGCAAAACGATGGGAAACTCAGAGACAGAGAGAGGCCGGTGGTGGTGGTTTGGAGGAGGGCCGCCTTCCTTATTTAACGGAGGGTGAGAGCGGGCGGGTAGGGTTAAAAGTGTAGATTTACTATGCACTCGCATGCAAAACAAACAACTGTGTGGGTGTGAGTGTGGGTGTGGGTGTATTTAAGAAAAGAAATATTCACAGTGTTCCGCCCGGATAGTCTATGCAGAGAAAGGGCGGATGGACGGGCAAAGGTATGAAGTGTACGCGGCTAACGCACCCTGATGCGAGTGAGAGGGTCAAGGTTTTGGGGGTGGAGGGCAGTACTTGCACCGGTACCGGTACCTGTGATACGCTGGGCGGCACTGAATGGAACAAGCTTCCTCTTGCTCCGCCAGAGGCTCGGTGGGTGGATGTCACCCGATGTTGCAAATTTTGCACGGTTTCAGGTTTAGCTCGCCGCATAATGGTCCCAACGTGAACGGGATCGGTGGCTGAGTCGGGAGGGAAGACGCCTAAAATAGAAGAAGTCGTCGTCACAATCCCCATGGATTGTTCGCAGTTGGTGTGAGAGGCGAGAGGCTCCCTCAGCCTCATGCGGCATTGCCAACAGCTGGCCGTCACCGCCTCCCGCCAGACTGCTGCCACCCGTTTGGCGGGAACGAGAGGAGCGTCGATTGTTTGCCCCCCCCCCGGCCATCGCTCGCCCAATCCGCCGCACGGTATCGTACAGGTACCGTACCGTACAGTACTGTACAAGTACAAGTATCGAAGTATGATATATACCGTACTCCCGCCCGATAGCGATACTGTGGCCTGGCTCCATCTAAGGCTTGCGCCCGCACCGAGCCGTGCTCTCGACCCCGAGTATGATATTATTATACCGTACCCTTGCCCCCTCCCCCCCAACAATACCCATTGTTGAGTCCTCCGACCCACATTACCCCTGCCCCTATCGTGTTGCGGCTACCGTATGGCAGGCATCCAGTCTAACTCGCCAACAGGAAACAAACACCACCCCGGCACGCCCAGAGCGCCCTTTCTTTGTGAACTGCATGGAAAGCCAAGAAATCCCTCCTGATGCCGAACCATCCACTTAACTTAGTAACAATCCTCCAACCTGTATTATTCGTGGAGTATCGTACCGGTACCGGTACAGGGTACAGGACGCTGAGAATTTTTAACCCTAGGCCTCTCACTTGCTCGTACATTATCCCCCCACGCGCCGCACTCTTCAACCTCTGTTCGTCCCCGAGAAGCCTTGAAAGTGCTTGACAAAATAGTATCCTACATCATCCTTATTCCATTGCCGTGTCCCCGCAACCCCCCTCCTTCTCGCCCCCTATAGAGCTCCCCTCCAAGCCGCCCATTCAATGGACTCTCCAATATTATCGCCCACCATGAGCCCACCGAGGCGAAGAGGGAGATTCTCTTGCCGACGGATCGACAAGCTGTGCTGTGCTCTTACAACCTGCTTTCCGCTACTGCTCGTCTATAGCACACTTTCCTGGGCCGTCTATACATATTCCTACAGCATCTGCTGGCGGAGTGTTGGCGGGTTGAAAGGTATTGCTCTGTCCCTTAAACCCTTGGTGTTTGGCAGGGGTGATCGGTTGTTGATGGGGCTTTTTGGGATGGAAAGCCTACCGCTATTTCCGGATCGACAGATTTTGCTGACGATTGCCTTGACCGCGCCCAGGTGGTGTATTGGGTTTCGTGGGATTCGCCCTGTGCGCTCTCGCGAACTGGTCCTACACCGCTGCTGTTTTTACGAACCCCGGATCTCCCATGGACACGGTACGTACGCGAATGCAACCTCCCCCCCCCTTCACTATCCATTCACTGCCCTCGCACTGTGTGTTTGCTGACCCCCCGCGCCTGGCCCGTTCTTGCAGGACAAACACGCGTACTCCCATCTCCCCACCACTGAGACCGCTTACCATTCCTCCATCACCGTGAAGTCCAGCGGGCAGGAGCGCTTCTGCAAAAAGTGTGAATGCCGGAAACCGGATCGTACTCATCACTGCTCGACATGTCGGAAATGTGTGCTGAAGATGGATCACCATTGCCCGTGGCTGTCCAACTGCCTCGGACTCTACAACTACAAAGCCTTTATCCTATTTCTCATCTACACCTCCGTCTTCTCCCAGTTGTGCTTCGTCGTTTCATCCATATATGTTTATCGGGAGCTCTTTGCTACTGGCCAAGGCGAATATTCACCGGAAGACATGACGCCCGTTAACTGGGTCATCTTGGCAGTGGTTGCGGGTATAGTTGGACTGGTCCTCGGCGGATTCACCATATGGCATTTAACTCTGGTAGCTTCCGGGATGACGACAATCGAATCGTTGGAGAAGGTCCGTTATAATTCACCCACATTATCTCGTCGTTGCGCGCCCCCTCCCGGAGATGCTCATCACCTCTACGACGATCCTAACTACCAGGACAGGCAAGAAAACATTGAAGCCTTCCAGCGATACAATGCCTACATAATGGAGGAAACATCTAATAATCTGCCACACGCATTCAACCTCGGCCGGAGGGGGAACTTCCGGCAGGTGTTTGGGGGGAAAGATCGGTGGATGAAATGGTTCATACCCGTATTTTCTGGCATCGGAGACGGTTGGAATTGGGAAACAAGTATTGAATGGAAGACCGCGGCAGAGGCCATGAAGAAGGAGCGGGAGAGGCTAGCTCGTGAGCAGGGAGAAAGGGAGCGTCGTGCGGGTTGGGGACGTGGAGCGCCGGGTTCGGGGGGCAATCGGAATGGGGGGAATCCTAATGGCCTTGTAAAGCATGCCACCACCAACGGCAGTGCTCATTTGCAACAATCCAAGGCGGAAAGGATTCTTGGAAGGATTCCCGGCAGCTACAGCGATCACGACATGACAGGAAGTGGAGGTGAGAGAGTCCCTCTGAGAAGGATGAATAAATCTTCGGAAGAGGTGGGCCTTAGCGATGATGACGACGTTGACTGTAACGTAGACCTAGAGCAGGGGGAGCAGAGCACAGGCAATTCTTGGGCTTCCTGGCGCCCCGGCTCGGCAGGCACGGAAACAGTTGCAGGTAGATGGGTATAAACGGGTCAGTTAATTATTAGAGTTTCCAAAAAAAAAATGTCGTTTTTCCCTATTTTTCTCACTTGTCATTATTTGTGGGGAGCGCGGTGACCAGCATATTCTTCGGGGCGTTTACGTTTTTTCTTGTCTCTTTTTTTTTTCATTTTTTTCACCATTTTATTTTTCATTTTATTTTTTTCCCCCTTCCAAGTGAATGATGGATGATGAAGGGATGGGGAGTATTGGATTCTTATAGTATAATAGGATTGGTTCCGGCGGTGGGAACGTGAGGGAATAAGTTAGTCCGTGCATGAATACTGGTTACGCTCACAACGAAAAATTCTTTTCTTTGCTGTAGTATCATACGGTGTCATATATGGTTGGCCTGTTTTCCTGGTATGAATATCCTGTCCAAGACTATTGTTCTATTTGCCGGCATTGCTCTTGTCCTGGTGCAAGTCTCGGTGCTGGTATAATGGTAGCGGATGGTGGTGGCGTTCTTAGTTTTGAGCAATTGGGTATCGTGCTATCAGTACTGCACTGTACAGTACAGCCAGTTCTTGTACGAGTACTGGTGCTGGTCCGGCCAGCCTTGCCTCACCATCACGCAATACGATAAGATTGGGAGGGTCCTACAGGATACCACAACGCGATATGGGATTCTGGAGGAAGTGAGAGAGACGGTGAATGGAACCGGGCCCATATCTAGTGGCGTATACTGCTGTTCCCGCACTGCAGGATCAGAACGATGATTCTAGATACCGTATTGGTATGGCCAAAGCACTGTGCAAAGGAGAAGGGTTTGAATTGGATTAAGCATGACACACAACTAAAGCTCAACTACCAAAATTATTACGATACCCCCCCCCCTGATTCGGACAAGAGACACGAGGGGGGACAATTCGTCTGAACTTGAGGTTGAAGTACCGGTATTGAAGCTTCACAGTACGACCGTGATTGCCGAATAATTGTGTCCGAGACTGAGGAGGTAAGCGGGGTGGGGCTATCCGCACAGGCAAACGGCGAGAGGAGGCCTACCGGCTCCATACTAGGGTCGAAGAAAAAGAAGGGTAAAAGTGTGTGTGTTTACAGGTGAAAAGGGTTGCTCTGCCCAAAGGATTTTTTGTGTTGCTGTTGTTGCCAGCTGCCTGCTTACCAGTGCGGGTTGATAGACTTTCTTGCCCCCTATCGGCTCTGTTCTCTCTTTCTTCTTCCCATCTATTTTCCCCTACATCCATCCTCCGGCCTCACAAAGCAAAGGATAAAATAATCTCATTCATAGCTTGCGAATTGTTTTATCCTCATCTCCTCTCACAGGCCCTGCTCTGCGCTCTGTAGCAGTTGGTAGCTGTTTTCTGCGTTTCTGCCATAACACTTTACCCCCCCCCGCTGGGTTATCGTTGCTTATCCACCTCCGTTCCATCTTCGCACCACCCCTCATCCTCCTCTCGCCCCACCAGACTACTTCCCCTATCCACCAACACAGTTTCTTCATCCAACAACAAAGACAACCTTTCACCAAAAAAATTATCCGTCAAACATGGCCGACCGATACATTCCCGAGCATAGACGCAACTTTAAGGCAAAGGCCAACTTCAAACCCGATGAGTTGAGACGTCGTCGTGAGGAGCAGCAGGTAGAGATTCGAAAGCAGAAGCGGGAGGAAAATCTGGCAAAACGGAGAAATATGGCTGTAACTAGCCCTGCACCTGGAGCAGGCGTTGATAGCGATGAAGAGGGAGGAACCGAATCACAGGCGAGTCCTTATTTTTATTTTTATTATTTTTTCTTCTCTTGGTTTTCTTTTGTTTACTCCACGCCTTCCCCGCGAACCAGTCCCTTCCCTGCTTTGTTTCTAATGGCCAATATGCATAACCCCGGCACCGGTACGGGTTTCTCCATCTCGTAATTCGAGTCGTGTAGGCTCTTTATCAAACCTTGCCTGATGCCTTGGAGTATTATTCTTTTTGTTCTCTCATTTACCTGACAAAATTTCCCTCTCACATTATGGTGTGAGGTTTTGCGGTCGTCATACAAAATTTGTGGCTCGCTAACGCGCTAATGTTGCCTTACAGCTAAACGAGGACCTCCCGTCCATGTGCGCAGGTGTTTTTTCTGAATCAATTGATCAACAGATTCAGGCTACCACCAGATTCAGAAAACTCTTATCAAAGGAGCGTAATCCTCCTATTGAGAAGGTGATCGAATGTGGTGTGGTTTCTCGCTTCGTGGAATTTCTTCGCTCTCCCCACACCCTCGTTCAATTTGAGGCGGCTTGGGCTTTGACCAACATTGCTTCGGGATCGGCATCGCAGACTCAAGTTGTCATTGAGGCTGGTGCCGTTCCCATTTTCGTCGAGTTGTTGTCTAGCCACGAGCCAGACGTTAGAGAGCAGGCGGTTTGGGCTCTGGGCAACATTGCTGGTGACTCGCCACAATGCCGGGATTTCGTTCTGGCTGCCGGCGCCCTGCCACCTCTATTGAGCCTTTTGGGTGATAGCCGGAAGTTGAGCATGCTTAGGAATGCTACGTGGACGTTGAGTAATTTTTGCCGTGGAAAGACCCCTCAGCCGGATTGGCCCACGGTGAGTTTTCTGAAATGCGGGAATACCTTTAAGTGCAGCTGTACTGATATAGTTTTAGATTCTTCCCGCTCTTCCGGTTCTCGCGAAGTTGGTGTATTCTCTGGACGATGAAGTCTTGATTGACGCTTGTTGGGCCATCTCTTACCTCTCAGATGGCTCAAATGATAAGATACAGGCAGTCATTGAGAACGGAATTCCACGGCGTCTTGTCGAGCTTTTGATGCATTCATCTACTTCAGTCCAGACTCCCGCCCTTCGTTCGGTTGGAAACATCGTTACCGGAGACGATGTGCAAACACAGGTTATTATCAATTGTGGTGCTCTTCCTGCCCTTCTAGCACTATTGGGCTCGCCCAAGGATGGAATTCGCAAGGAGGCTTGCTGGACAATCTCCAACATTACCGCCGGGAATTCGACCCAGATCCAGGCGGTCATTGATGCTAACATCATCCCCCCACTTATCAACCTCCTCTCGCACGGTGATTTCAAGACTCGTAAAGAAGCTTGCTGGGCAATTTCGAATGCAACTAGCGGAGGCCTTCAAAAGCCTGAACAAATTAGGTATCTCGTTTCCCAGGGATGCATCAGACCCCTTTGCGACCTTCTCGGCTGTATGGACAATAAGATCATTCAGGTTGCCCTTGATGGTCTCGAGAATATCCTCAAGGTTGGCGATATGGACAAGGGTGCTGAGACCGACAACATGAACCGTTATGCTATGTTCATCGAGGAGGCTGGTGGAATGGAGAGGATCCATGCTGCTCAAAACAATGCCAACGAGGAAATCTACATGAAAGCGTACAACATCATCGAGAAGTACTTTTCTGATGAGGATGATGAGACCGGCGCGGAGATTCAGGGGTTGGCTCCTCAAGCCCAGCAGGACGGGCAAGCTGGAACCTTTAGCTTTGGCGCGCAACCACAGCAGGGGGGCTTCAACTTCGCCAATGGAGATAGCATGGACATGTGAACAACTTTGCCACAACAACTATCAAAAAAACAAACTGCCTGGGAAAATGCGATAGAGGGAACCAATGTGTGGAGGTGTTTCAAAAGCACGTTATTGACTGTTTTCTACGGATAGCTTACACTTTCTCTCATTTGGTTCGGGTTTTTGTGCTTTTCTCTTTGCCTACTTTTTCCTTTTGTTTCTCTCTCTCTCTTCTCGTTTCCCTGTTTTTCCCCACAAATCTCCACTCTAGGGCCGGTGTTCTGTACGGCGGAGGCAAGTGTAGGTGGTTGGTGGATGATGGATCGGAAGAAATGAGAGAATGGGAAATGTGAAAAAAACAAAACAGGGAAACGCTTTAATCGCTATTTGTACCAGATAACCAGAAAGTGTTTTTTTCTCCTTCCTTCATCTTCATTCATTTCGCCTATCCAGAATATTTCCTCTACTGTTCCACATCTTTTTTGTATTTTTTTCTTTTTGCAACTATGACACCCCCCATCCGCCCATTCATCCATCATGTTTTCTTTTTGTTTACCTCTTGTCACATTTTTTTTTGTCATCATCAACGTGCCCCAATTCTTTTCCTGCCCATCTATCTACCCGTCTACCTTATTCATTCACCTTATCGCCGATCCCAAATAAATCTATCAGACCAGAGCAGAAAATTGGCACCACCATTTGCCCATTCGTCTTAGGCGTCGCGTTCGGATTAGGTTCCCGCAGCGATACGTCCCCATGCTCTGCTTAGATTGGTTTAGTCCAGTACATCTTACCCCACTCGGGTACCCCAGGCCATTTGCGAGCATCGTGGCCGATAGTGGGTAATCACGGAGAAGAAAGTGAACATGTTGTAGCACTTGGAGACCGGGTATAGTGGGAAAAACAATGTACTGTGCCCCTTATATCAATAACTTGACTACCTAGTAACTATAATGTTCATTGCTGCAATATGTACTCAGAAAGATGCGTGCATGGCTAGGTATTATACACGCGAGCAATGATTCATGATACATGGAAAGTATAAGTTTTGTGGTTGAAGAATTGTTATTTTTCTTCTCGTTTGCGGCACTGGGGACACTGGTAAGGTGAATCGGATGGGACGACACACAGGATAGGGTTTACCACGTGCATTCATCATCATCATTCCCACACGGGTGAATGAGTGAGTGAGTGAGCTTGATATCCCCATATTCCCCCTTGATCAGAATGGTTCAAGAGTGGTATCAGGAGTGTGAGGGGGGGGGGGATCTGTGGCTGTTGCACGATGTACAGTACAGTACAGGAACCACCACTGGGTATCCTATGATATTCTAGTTGGATAGTTTGATGGGTAAATTTATGATAGCTAAATGATACAAAGATCTTTGTCAAGAAAGCACGTGCGCGCGTACCGTGCACCCGAATGGAAGCGTTGGTGGTAAATGGTAGTTCCTGTTATGAGATTTTTCTCTACAGTAAGAGTACGAGTACCGTATTCCTACAGCGATGTAAATCTGTGATAACTATTGTGATTCGAGCTGCAGGGCTGGTCCCGAGTGATTTCTTGTGATGGGGTTACTTGTTTATTTGTGTTATCTACCTATCGGGTTCTGCTTGTTTGTTTTATTTATTTTTTTATTTTTTCGGTTTTAGAAGATTTCAGGAAAGAGGTGGTGGAATGGGTTGTGTGAGTGGGGTTTGGAGTCTCGCACTGGGGTATGATATAAATAGGGATAATGGAGGGTTGCTCCATTTTGCGGGTGAGCGGGTGAGGGGAATTCTTTATCACATTTCTTTCAATTTCTTGTTTCCCCCCTCACCTGGTACTGACAGCATCGTACCCAGAGTTTAGGCCTCTGTTTTGGCGGGAACGGAGCCGTTCGTGACTGGTACATTTCAAATCGGTTGTCACTGTTCAGTAGAAACGGACCGCTTCTGTTTCGGCAGATTTTAGAACGGAAGAGTCGATTTATCGTACCAGACGCCAGTTCATGTCCATCTATTTTCGAAACGGACGTATCCAAACGGGCCCTTAATTCTGTCCGGGTGCCCATCTGGGGTCCGGACTGGTACGATAGATAGGGGCTGGGTGGATTTGCGCTGTGCACTGTACTGGTCTGTTGTTTTACTGATAGGGAGGAGGTTGTGTCGTTCGCTCAATCTTCTGTGGTGTTATAGTTTTGCTAGAGGGGTACGAGTTGTTTTGTCTTATTATATAGTACGGTTAGCGGAGAATGGTATGATGTTTTATCATAGGAAATTGGTATGATAGTTTTATGGGAGGGATCTAGTTCCTTGGGGAGTTAAGTGGTATCATACGTGTTGCATCTAGTAAGGTGTCTACTTAAGATGTAGGGCACAGTACCGTACCAAAGTCCCCCTTCCTTCCTTCCTTCCTTCCTTCCTTCCTTCCTCCCTTCGCCAGGTCTCCTGCCGGTATTTGAGAGCACGGTGGGGGTTTATGGCACGCATGTGGTGACTTGCCGCTTTTCCCACTCTCACGATCCAACGCAACAACGGCTTGGATCCTCGTTAGGGGATGGAATCGAGTGACAGGCCGTGAATACCCATTTGAATTGTAGGGGAGAGAGAGAGAATGGAGTTTAATCTGGGATACCCACAATAGCAACGTTAAGAGAAACCACATACGTTAATTGTGGGAGCTTTGATCATCGTGCGAATGTGGGTGTTGAATGTGCTATCTACATATAATACCCACAATACCTCTAGGAGTGGAGCCCAGGGGGGGGGGGGGGGTGGTTCACTCTATGAAGGTTATTTGACGAGCAGATTTAGGTCCAGGAGGATCCAGCGCCTTGCGATTCGAGGCTACTTATTAGTACGCTTCGTTGGGGCTTGCTCTTGGTGGGCTCACTCTTCACATATGGGGCGGGCTGGGTTTTAGCGGGGGGATTGCGACTCGCGGCATCGTAGTGTATCGCACGGCAGGATGGATGGATGGATGAAGATGGGGAAAATGGCTATAATGCCTACTAGCTCCTCCCTGGCTACGCGAGCCCTTCTAACAATAACAACTCCCTCAACAATACCTGCTCTTTCAATGAGAATACCAACTGCGGGAATTGTGGTACTGGCTTCAACAATACCGTTAATAATGTATCGAACCATTTTACTGTCTACCAAGATTGATCAGGGATCCTGGTCTAGTTGTCTTCTCTTGGAGCCCCGTTTGCGGCATCAGAGCCTGGGGGCGGGCCTGACCGACGAAGTTGGGGGGCTGGCGCAGCGGTAATGGCTAGGGTGAGGCTTAGATCGTGGCGGTATTTTTCTATCCTACGGGGATCTGGGTGCTAGAAAGAAGTATATTTGGTGGGAGCTGCGCCCCTGAAGGGAAAAATAGAAGAAAAAAAAACTCTGTTTCGGACAAGCTCCCCTGAAAATCTCTGGTAAGTTAGCGGATATCCTATGCGGTCAAGGTGGGGTCAGAATATTGCCACCACATGTTTTTCACTTTGACTTTGCAGCAGGAAAGGGGCAGACACCGGCTTCTAGCAAAACAGGTTGTTGGTAGATTAGACAAGATCCTCGTAGAAACTATTTAGGAATTTGAAGGAGAGAAGGAAGCTATTGGGTCGGTAGGTGCGGCTTTATCTGCGCCGACGTTGTGGACGAATGCGCCGCGAGAAATGGGGCAATGATCCTCAATTCAACTGGGCGAAGTTACCTAAAAGTCACCAGCCACTTGAGTGTTCCTAACGGGAAGGCCACATTTTCCTAATGCAGTGGAAGCTCGTCTCCCTGTGGGAATAAGTTGGTGTATAGATGAGATATAGTTCATTTTAATACATCAATATGAAGACGCAACCCCAGATGAGATTGACCAAATATTAGAGGCGGGAATTGCGAAGAGGGTTCTCGAGGCTGTCTCTAAGAGGTAAGTATGATCGGCTGCCTGGGAAAGCCTACCTTAAGCTATCTACTGATAGATATGTCCCCGGATTTCTGTCAGTGCCTCTGATTCTCAAGGCGATCCTGCAGGAGCCAACCATCAGTCGGCAGCGGAAAAAACTTCAGATGGTAACCAATGGCTCGGACTCGGGGGACGCGCACGGTGCCACGCTTGAACTTGTAAAAGCGTAAGGTGAGGAGAGGCCGAAGCTTGGAATGGAATCTTTGATATGGATGTCACCAGGAACGCCCGTCGAAAGCAGATGAGCTGCGTCATGCCCTGGCGGTCAGAATTGGATCAACCGATTTTGACCCAGACAACGTTCCAGTAATACGGACGGCTAGGCTTTTGTCAAAGGTCTGTCGTGGGGAAGGATGAAGGGTCAACTTCTCAGTCGATCCTCTTTAAGCTCTAGAGTATCAGAGTATCATTCTAACCGTTAGGGCCTTTTCTTGAGAGCTCATTCAATCGTGGAGACTTGCTTGCCATACCTGAATTCCTGGTAGGTCATGAATCTTCCGGCCTGTTACCATTTCCGTTCTCGAATCATGCCCTTCCTTGAATATTCCGCCTTATCCTAGGGAGCCCACGGGAAAAAGGGTTACTCAGATTGTGTGAAATCGCCCGCTCCAAGGCTCTTCAGGCAGTATAACAATCACCACATTCGGGCACCTGATACCCGTACTATGTTGACCACCTCGAGGACCTTTCCCTATACACGGGAGTGCGTTTTCATCCTTCTTCGGGCTCTTGAGATTGTGAAGGGGTTGACAGACATAGGAGGTTTCAGTACGAACAGAGGAGGTTCTGAGGGTATCACACACTGGGATGGGAGGCTCGGAATGGGCACGAGGGAGTGGCAGAGATATCGTTAGGATATAGGGACGTCAGACCGACAGGGGAGACGGGGCCTGCAGAATACCATCCTAGTATGCTGCTTGGAACAGGAACGAGGGAGCTGTGCGGCTACTAACTAGGACACGAGACATCAACCTCAACAAGCGAGACACTACCGATAGATCACCACTCTTTCGTGCTGTCGGGCATGGGAGTGAGGGAGTGGTATAGCTACTGGCGCGGAGGGATGTGAATCCAGATAACCTAGATAACGATGGCCAAACCCCACTATCGCATTGTGCCTGGAATGGGTACGTGGGAGCGGCGGAGACTGCTGGAACATGGGGACGCCAACCCTGGCAGGCCAGTCGGCTTCAGCTGGACACCACTCTCGTATGTTGCCGAGAAATGGGCACGAGGGAGTTGTGCAGCTGCCACTCGGACGAGGGGGATATAAATCGCGATAAGCCGGACGAGAATGGCAGAGCCCCACTATCACATGCTGCTTCTGGAGTGGGAGCGAGGGAGTCGCACAACTTTTCCCCGCCTTTTGGGAAGGGAACTATGGGGTATCGCGGCTTCCTGCTAGAACGTGAATAGGGCAGACCCGGTAGGTCAGACAGATTCCGTATAACGCCGTTCCAGTTCCCGTATGCTGCCACTGCGCAACATAATGGACTCGTATACATAATACAGGCCTGCAAATCCTCACGCCTAGCTTTGCCTAGCTTTCAGAAGTATAAGACTTCTTGCTGTCTTCGATTCTAGATTTGCGCCGCTTCCCCCCTGTCCTACTGAAGTCTTCCCCGCCCCGCAGGTCAAGCTCGACTTGCCTCGGCGTGCAACCGCTGTCTTGTGGGTATCGCCACCATAGCTGTCGTGCCTTCCCTAAGCTTGAGTCCCCAAATTTTGGCAGAGTGGGATTTTTGGAGAAAGGAGGAAATTTTTGGTCGGCCATTGGAGGTACTCTGTATACCTCCTTTTGATCTAGAATGCGCAGATTTTCTCGGGGGTTATTTAGGTATCTTTCCTTTGCCATACTAGAACTAGATAGCAGAGGAAAAGCTCTGGGGGGCATTTGGGAGATGATCTGGACTTTTCTCTATATGTAATATACTTGCTATAGTTTGGGCTGCTGTTACCGAAAACCAAGGATGCTGTAGCTGCCTCTGCTGACTTTTGTATTTCATTCATTCATACCCCCGGTTCCGTCAGTATATACTGCCGCACGCCGGATACCACAGCGGAGAATTATTTCTGGGCACCGCTATTGCCTCGCGATATCCGGCAGCAATATACCTACACCACCAGTACCCATATGATCTTCCCCGAGCACCGGCCGGTGGTAGTTATCGAGTGGTGGATTATGCGTATCTACTCATTGAATTTAGCCAAAACCGAGTGAGGAAGTGTTCAAGCGGTGTTGGAAGGCCTTC